AGGAGAATAGAGGGTCAAATGGAATTTCTATTTTTAGTTTTTTTGAGGCATCTCCACATTGATTTTCACAGCAGTAGTACTAGTTTACATTTCCACTGACAATGTAGTAAAGCTCCTCTACCCAACCTTGCCAGCATTTGCTACTGTTAAGATTTTTTGACGACAGCCAGTCTTTCTGGGGCAAGATGGTATCTCAGTGCAGTTTTAATACGCATTCCTCTGATGGCCAGAGATGAGCTACTTTACTGTCATAAAGAATGATAAACTTAAGACATTTGTAGGTAAATGGATGCAACTTGAGAACATTTAATTGAAGTAAGTCAGATGCACAAGCTTAAATATCACAGTTTGTCTTATATGAGGAACACAAATAAAGAGCAAAATAGAACAGAAATAAATAGAAAATAGGGACAAGTTCAAATACTTCCCCAAATGTCAAATTCCACTGCTTTAAAAACATTTCAATATCCTAATTGATTTTATTTATACTATGAGTTTAATGTAGTTCACTGACAAGAAAGATTTGTGCTCCTTTTTTGTAAGGACTTTTTTGGGGGTATGTCTTGTTCTCTGAGGTAATTCTATGAAAATGATACACTGTAATAACTATTATATTCTTATTTATGAAATTTTATTTTTTCATAAGATTCATGTTTGATGTACCTTTTGTGGCCAATCTCATCAATGTGAGAAGGGATTACGAAGGACATGGATATCAGTAAGCATGATTTACTGGGGATCATTAGTGTGACAATCTAACAGGTATAAATAGTGGCGCATTACTTATGGGCTTGATTTTTCACTTGTTTCAACTAATTCATTACATTCTTCCTTGACTTTGCCAAAGCCCTCTATAATCAGTAGTTGTCAACCAAACCTATACTGCCTAAAATTTCTATCTAGGGCTTGCAGACTCTTTATGTGAAGGGTCAGATTCATGAGCCACACAGTCTCTGCAACTTAATCTGCTCTTCAAAATTGGTAGTGGCTAGTAGGTAATACCTACATGAATGGGCATGGCTGTCTTCCAATAAAACCCTATTTACAAAAACAGATGGTGGGCTGCATGTGACCTGTGGTCCTTAGTTTACCAATTCCTGATAAATTATAATTCTTTAGACTGTCAAAAATATTGTGTATAATACTCAAGTGTTGCTACTTCTCAAACTTGAAAATGAAACATCGTTTCTGTAGAATCTTATTTCATCATGGGAACTGATCAATGCATACTCAAGTTCCATAAGATTTTTCATCTAATTGTTTAAAAATAAAACAAATGCATAAAGTATTTTCTAAATAGCTGGTTCAGAGGTGGAGGGGCAGTAACACAGACGAGGAGGGTGCAAACTCAACAGCCAGACTATCTGGCTCTATACTACTAACTAGTTGTATGACCACAGGCAAGTTACTGAATGTCTCTGAGCTTTTGTCATTTCATCTGAAAGACTTACAATAGTCCTACTTTATAGGGTTACTGGGTCATTCTGAAGATCAAATGAATGACTTTAGTGCCCAGATCATAACATTCAGTTAAAATGGTTTAATATCAAAATGCCATAAAACTCTAAACTATTTTTAAAGAAAATGAGCCAATTTCTCAAGACTGAGCAAAAAAAAGAATGAGCATATGCCTATAATCTCAGCATTTTGGAAGCTGAGGTAGGAGTATCACTGTGAGTTAGAGGCGAACTGTGCTACACAGTGAGTTCAAGGCCAGCCTAAATTGCAGAGCAACACTCTAAAAAAAGTGTATGAATTTCCAGGCTCATAGTACTGAGGTATAGTTTCAAGGCCTTCTAAATGAAAATTTAACATAAATTGGATTAGAGTAATTTCAAGACTGTTGAATTTGACCAGTCACAAGCAGGTACCACATAGATTTGGTAGCTTGTCAGAGTATGTGTTGATACATGAAGCATCAGTAGATACCAGGAAGAAGATACAGAGGTTCGTAATTCATTTTCAGGTTTGTTAGAACTTTAGAAAAAGAGCTTCTTTAAAAGATGTTCAGTTATCCAGTGATGTCTCGAAATTAGCATCTAGTGATGACTAGACAATTGTCCATTTTCCCCTGTGACTAAGTATTGTAAAAGCTGCCCGATATGTGACCTATTGCTCTACCCAGACCATATACATAAGACTGTCCTTGCTGCTGCAGTGTAGAAGCTGCTAGGGTGGTCAGACAATGCTTTGTTCACTGTGCCATTTACAGCTGTACTTTAGTAGAACCAACAATGGCTCACAATGACCTGCATTCGACCCCATGGTCAGCATTTCCTCAATGAGTCACTGTGTGACCGTGCTATTTGTCTTTACCTCACTGATTGGGGCCTGTGCCACCAGTTAGTACTTGAGGCTCACTGCTCATAGTTCCAATACACTATGTTGGGCAGGACTCACTGAATCAAGGCCACTTTCACATTTTCCTATGTAATGGTTTGACATTAGTAATTCAGGACAAATTCAGCAAGTGTCTTGTCATGTGTAAAGTGCTACTAAGGTTGAAACGTTTCCCTCTATCAACCAGAACTGTATTTCTATTAAGTAAAAGCCTTGGGGGAAAATGCCCCATGGCTGATATGTGATGTGTCTAGAATCTGGGAAAGGTAATTGGGTGAGGGTGATGAACAGGAGGAAAAGGTCAGCTTGCAGTGTAGAGAAGAAAGGGGACATGCCATCCCAGAGCACAGGGCACAAAAGCTGCCCCTGCTGCTTGCCAGGGATGCTCTGACTGAGGTTGTAGGGGTCCATCTCCAAAGCCCAGTACCAGGGCAGCACCAGCTACTGGAGGTCCTCTAGCTGCTGCAAGATGGGCAGGCACATGGCGTGGGGCCTGGAGCAACCTCCTGACTGGCAGTGCAAGAAGCAGGCCACGACTCTTGACATATCACCCAAAGATTCCTTGTTGCTCCCCCTTTTCCTTTGGAATTCAGGGAAAGGACCTGAGAGAGGTGCGAGTCTTAGGAACTCAGCCGAGGACTGTAACCCCAGGTTGCTGTCATCTACAGAAATGCTGTTCTCGACTGACAACTGAGCTGAGCACGTATTAGCAGAAGAAAAACAAACCCTTAAGAACAATGAGAGGTCGTTCTCATCGGTGTTGCCCCTTATCCTGGCTTCCGTGGAAGCATAACACCCAGCTCACTGTGTTTTCCTGGGTGTATAGAGCTTCAAGAGTTAGCTACAACTTTGCTGTCTCACCAGTTAAGGGCTTCCATTTCTTTTTTTTTTTAATTTATTGGTACATTCTAGGTAGACAGTACAGATACATTCATTACTGGGATCATGTATCTTTACATGCCAGGTCTTGGTTCTCACTTTTTCCCCTTGTCCCGACCCTCCCTTCAACCTCCCCTCCCCCCCTTCAAACACTTTCCATTTCTTTTTCCTAGGCCAGGCCTGACAACACCCTATGTACGGGCTTTGCACCCTTTTGTTCCTTGCAGCTTTGTAAGTCATTCCACTGTAGTGAGCCACAGAATCATCTGGAGGACTGTTGCAACACAGACTGCTGAGCCTAGGTCAGGATTTGACTTAGTCATGTACTACATTTCTAGGTTGTGATGCTGCTGGTCCAACGATTATATTTCCAGGATCAATGATCTTTAAGAAAAAAGTATCTATATCTGCACCTATGAACACACACACACACACAGCAAGCAGTCTGGGTACTATGCTGTGTGAAGGTTTTGTGCTAGTTATACCCTAACCACAAAAGAATTTCTCTCAAAGCGCATTTTTTGAGATGCGCATCTCCCATCCACCTACACTGCTCTTTCCCTCAATGATTATACAAAGGGGCTCTGTTTCCTTTAAAACACACTTAGTTTTTAACATCTTTAATAACTCAATTAGTAAACGGAGAATTTTGAAAAATCTTCCGTGCACATGCCCACCCTCAACCACACGCAACCCAATTTTATTTCAACTGACAGCATGGTAGTTCTGGAAGACAGCTTTTGCTGTGTTCTACCACCTACATAGAGTTTTTTATCCTATCATTAATGGACTAATTCATGAGTAAGCAGAACAGTCTTCTGGTATTGACAAGATTACAACAGAAGTTAACATCACTTATAATCTTGCCCAGCTTTTAAGGATCAAAGTGGTCATTCATCTTGAAAAGTATACCCTAAGACAAGTGCTGGCAGTCATGAATTTGGGAGATGTAAATCTCCAAGAAATGTCCAGCAACTTAAGTGAACAAGTAAAGGACCAAACAGACTGATATAAAACAAAACTTTTCAATAACTAGTATGGGTTTACTTCAATTAAATGTTTTATTTTCTGTTTATTTTTTCTTCTGGAAATGGGGTAAAGTATTTTGAATTAATGAAAAGTTCAAATTAAGTAAGGTTGTGGTATGACTGCAGAGAAGGCTCGAGAAGGAAAAGGGAGTGACTAAGGAAGAGAAATGCAGCTGACAGGTGAGCTGTAGCACAATTCAAGTTTATTCCATTTGTTCTTGCAACACAAAACTTAAACACAGTATTATTTAGCATTCAGATGTACATGAACTAGGATACTTATGAGAAACTCAATTGTGTCAAAAGTATGACGCTATGGAAAAATGAACTCAAATATATCAAAAATGCACAAAGCACTAGTCTTCCTCCATTACTGCTGAGAAAGGTATGATTGTTTCTCCATTTACAAAATAGAATCAGGACGACTTTTTAAAAATTTTGCATGCAAAACACTGCAATTGCTTATTTATGTAGTAGGGCACTCTTACCAGCTTCTATACACAATTGAGTATACGATTATTACATGGAAGAAAACAGCAGCTTAGTTGAAGTTTTAGGAACAAAATTAATTAGGTACATATAGATTAAAAACCCAGCACCTGGGAAAATAAATCAATGAATAAAAGGCCTACTTGTCTGCAGCTTCCACACAATGCACCTACCAACTACATACTTCTATGCCCAGCTGGGTTTAGAGGGGTGAGCTGTGCACAGAACTATTTGGGACACTCAGGTGCTGTCTTTGACTCTATGTTTACAGAAACCAGCCTGAAGCTGCAGGGGAATTTGTTAGCAACTTGTAACAGGAAAATCACCTGTTTTTAACTTGACATAGTGCATAAGAAATGACTCAATGATTTGATACAAAACTACAGAACATGCAAGATTTTGTCTAAGATGTTAAATAGTAGTTCAGTGGAGAACAAAACTAACCTTTTGCTAATGCATGTAGTACCAAAAAGCAGACATGGTTGTAGCTTCCTTTATTCAAAATATAAACATTAAGTGTTGTGAATTTCTCTGCCAAGTGGTTCAGAAATACATTATAAATAACCTAGTTAAAAAAAAAAAAGAAATTGCAAACCATCTTGGACAGTCTATTCTATTCTATGTGTATATGTAATTTACTCAAGCAATTGCTTCATAATTATGGGGTTTACAAAATGACTGAAAAATAAGAGGGAAGGCAAAATAGCCTCTACTGCATTACAAGGAACATCAGGATAAACTGTACAAGGAATCACATGGTTTAAGTACCATAATGACTTTGAAAGCAGACCAAGTTTAGGAATGCGAGGACAATGCACCCTCTGCAATAGCCAACTACAACAGAACACTTTGAAAGCAAAGGTGAAAACTGTGTAAAGGGAAAAATTCAAGCCTTTTAAATAGCATTATACCAAGAGGTGAAAACAATGATTAAAAAAAAAAAAAAAACCATCCTGCTGCACTATGCTGACAGGTGTAGACTGATAGAGTGCCCTCCATTTCTAATCAGGATGTACAGCTGATAGGCTGCATTAAGACAGCACAATTAGTCAAATATATCAAAGTATTTAATCCATTTTGTTATTGTGTTCTTGGACACAGGAAAATTACAGGGGTAGGCTAATTCAAAGTGAAAAAGCCACAGGATAAAAAAAGGGCTCATGGGGAAAACACACACACACACATGCACACACACACACACACACTCTCATTCTTACATCACCAACCAACTAGCAACTGATTAATAAAACTTACTACCCAGGCTGACTGTTCTTAATAGTTTAACCCTGCTGTGCAATGCTACATTGCCTTAAAAAAAATTATTGGTTCATTATCCACAATCTGAATATAAGTCCCTAACCTCCCTCCCCCTTTTAAAAATTTGAGGTACATTCAATTATTGCATGACTTGGTTAAGGAAAAACCCTAATATTTTTAGTAAGCTTATATGGATGACAATTCAAAAAATCTTAATATTTCAAATGCCAGATATCAAAGTTAAGGTTATATGCTTTAATTTTACTGCTCATGAAATAAATACTTGGAGATGTGCCCAAATTTTCTGCAGGTCATAAGGACCATTTTAGGGCACTGTATTGTAAGAACACAGAAAATATTTTGAAGTTATCACACATTATGCAATGCATGATTTATAAGAGAAACAAAAATATGTGCAGGTGGGTTGGGTTGGCATATGTCCAGCAGAAGCCTATCAATGACTCAGGGAAACCTGGTAACAAGCCTAGTTCTGTAGGGATTGGGTTCAATTTTTCTAATAGTCAATCTTGCCCCAGTGACAGCTTTGGTGTACTACGTAATCATCATCAAGATGGGTCAGAGAGAGGTGTTCTAAGAAATGTTCCTTGATTCTCCAGACGTTAACTGAAATCAACTCAAACAGCAAACAAAGGATATCTGTAGGTACTAGGATAACTGCTCTCTCTCTATATGATACTAACACGCTTATGGCTATGATTCTATTTTTAAACCCCCTTTACTATACCAGCAGGAATCTGAAAGTATTTCAATGTTATTATATAAATGTCTGAAGCTAGAGGAGAAAAAAATACAGATACTGGAATGATTTCTCCTTTAGACTTCTAAATTTTAAGATTTCATAAATAAAACTAGTCAGTTTTATCTAAAGAGATATTAAATCCATGTGAAAGGGGAGAGAAAATCCAAAGTTCAGTCATCCAGAGATTTAGGAGTGGCGCCCCTCCTCAGCTTAACTGAGCTTTCACTGGAAGCTGAAGTTATGAGGGAAGATTTGGTCACCAACCACAGGTGGCGCCAGTACAGAGCAGGAGACCCCTGGAGAGTGCATGCTTAAGGCAGAAGGCTGGAGGGAGTTGCTTATCTCAGCACCCTAAGTTACATGGCAGCAGCCGCTACTGCTCACAGTTAGGACTGCTGAGTAAGTAGAGTTGGCCTTTGTAGAATGAGACCTTCAACACAATCTAATTAATGGATTAGCTAGGGAGTTGAAAGGTCAAATGTTCCTGGTACAGTGTGTCATTGCTCTCTCTTGGGTCTATGGTATATCTTTTATTAGAAATGGAAAAGAGGTTGGCTTGATCAGGAATCCTGCTAAGAGCCTGATCATGATTTTCCTCTCCTCCAAACATTTTTTCTGGTAGTCTGATTTGTTATGAATTTCTCTCTCCCCTCACACCTCCTAAAAGTATTTAGCTGAAGAAGCTGGCAGATAGAGAGTGACAGACAGACAGGCAGCAGTGTGAGGCCACAGGAGAGTCGTTCTTTCCAAGTTATCAGTCCATCCGTTCATCACTGCAGGAGCGCTTTGATTGCCTGGTTGTCGGTGGCTTCAAGGGCAGTCAGTCCATCTGGACCTTTCACAGTCTTATCAGCACCCTGGGAACGAGAAGGGGGCCTTCATCATTGAGTGAACCCACAACGCAAGAGAGGACTGTGTCATACAGACCAATGTTCACACTGAGAATTCAAACATGGCTCACTAACGGTCCATTCTATTACAGAAGAACAAACAACAAAAAAGTTCTCTAGGCTATGGATTAAGTTGTTAAAAATGCCTTATTATTTTTCAGGCATCAAAATGCAACTTGTCTCTAACATAGGCAATGACAGGCTTTCATTTACACAATCATGTACTTAATTAAGCTTTAAAAATATTATCTCTATGTGCAGTATGAGACAAACATCACTTCTGCTAAAGAAAGTATTCTTGTGACATTATTTTTTTCTTTGTTGCAACATTTTCTGTAGAGTACTGCAGTATCCATACACATTTTGCTTGTGAAAACCTTTCAGTAAATGACTGGGATGGGGGCAGTAGGGAGGCTTCTCTCTATGCTGGGCAAATCTGCAGTGCAGACACCAGAACACCCTGTCCAGGACCTGGACAAGGCTATCCTGGACACTTTATTTGCTACAGGCCCCTGCAGCTCTGGAACTGCACCGGGACTTATATTTCTCTATACTGTTTCATCTGTTTGCCCTTTCTAGAACAAAGGAATCTTGTCTGTATTACTCACCACCATAGGCCAGTGTATGGAAAATGCCCATTTCGAGATAGGTGGGTTAATCTGCTTCCAAACCAAGCCCTCAAATTCTAGCTCTCAGAAATAATATCCAACCACCTTTCTTTGCTAGCCTAGCCACAACCAATGCATATTCATTACAAAGCCTCAGTGCCCTGCTCTGGTGCTCTTGTCAAACCACACTTGGTATTTTCCTAAGGCCTACAGACTTGTCAGATGTGGTGTAGGAAACTAGCTTTAAGGGCTAACTATAGTCAAACTTAGCAGTCTTTTCTCTTAATCCTTCTATGCATTCATCCTTCAGAATTTCTAGCAGTCCCTGAACATGCCATGTACCATGCCTTTATACACACGGGCTCCAACGAAATGTCTCACCCACTTTATCTTGAAAATCTACTCAATCATTCACTCCTTTATTCATTCAATAAATTGTTACTCGATGTTTTGCTGTGTACACGTTGTGTAAAGGGCTGGAGAATCAAAGAAAATCAGGGCAGAGAGCCTGTCACTCCAGCTGGTGTGGAAGATAGGTCGACACAGCACAGTGGGCAAGTACAGGACTATGCCAGGGACTGCTACATCAGAAGAGGATGTTGTGCGAAGGGTAAGTTAAGTCTTCCTGGATCAGGCAGTGCTTGGACTGAATCTTGGTGAGCTGACTGGTACACCAGGAAGGGGTGGTGTGACACACATTCTGGGAAGTAGTAAAAGTCAACATAGCCAGCCCCTGTAACATAGGCGAAGAGACAATAACTGGGACCACTGAACTGAAACAAATGACTCTTAATTCATTTTGAAGATTTGTTTACTATAACCAGCACTAAAACTGTAATTCTGCTTTAATAAAAAGTCACTGTGGTGAATATGTGTTGCTTTTTAGCCATCAGAATTTATTTCTCTTTCTTTGATAGCAGTACCCTAATTTCATTTTGGGGAATCACTTATTGCCTGATTTAAGGGTCCATGTACTTTCCTTGCAAAGTGTCCAAGTCTTATTTAACTCAAGCAGGACGCTCTCTCCTGGAGTTTGAAACTTGGAGAGACCAAAAGAGTGCACACAAGAAGTCAAGAGGTCACTGATCACTGTGGCACCATCATAATGAAGGATCCTGGTGAGGCCAGCTCTGATGTCTTTCCAGTCCTCCAGAATTTTCAGTGAGTCTATTGTTAGCATAGTTATCTCCTCAAATATTCTTTTTTTTACTTGTTGGAATCAATTTCTGCTATTTGCAACCAAAAATAGGGACCAGTTTACACTAAGTTCTCTACTACTTTGAGTATCAAAAAGCTTACTGTCTTCTAATATTCTTATCCCTGTTTTTAAAACTGGTTCATGATCTTTTGGGAAAACTGACTTGACTTTATTACACTGATTGAGTACTTTATCATTTTTAATGCCATTATAAATGTTTTCTTAATTTCATTTACAATGTTAACAGTTATATCTGGCTTACAGTTATGAGTTATGTTTTTCTGTGTATTCTGAGTTTTTTGTAGTAAGTGGATATTATACTTGGGGAAGTGATTCAGAATTTTAGAAATATTTTATTAGCTACTATCTGAGTTTAGTTTTAAATTTTATCTCTGACTTTCTGCTCATAGAACAGGCTTTTAGCTCTCTATCACCCCTTCCCCAGATTCATTTTCTAGTCTGATCTGTAAAGTGTATTTTGTTTACTAACTCTTATAGTGGGCATAAACAAGCAATGTTTAAAATTATTTCTAGGTGAACGCTGCTTCCTGTGGAACCTCACAGACTACTGTCACTAGTTTCCTCTCTATTGCCCCAGTAATGCATCCTTGCACACTCTCACTTATCACAAAATCCGGGTAACGGATTTTGAGTTTTCCTTAATTGTGCTCATTGATTTACAAATAACAAACTTTTGAACCTATTACTGTGAGGGCAAACTGGTGTAACTAAAAGAACTTAGGACACAATGGACTAGATTCAGTTTATTTCTCTTTCCTCTGCCTGGTGCTAACTATATGAAACGTGTTAGGGTAGCTCTGTCCTGTAAGCGCATTTAAGGATCCAGGTTTCATCTGCTGCCCACGATTGCTGTCTATGTCCCTATGGAGGAAGGTGGCTCTGTATCTGCTCTATACTGGCATCCAATTTATTTATTTATTTACTTACTTACTTATTTATAACCAGGGATTGAACTCATGCTTGCAAGGCAGACAGCGGCCCCACTGAGCTAAATCCCCAGCCCTGGGCTATTTTAGGTGATGACTCACAAGAGGCACATATATACCACTAGCCCAAATTTAAGATTAACAGCCACATTTACTGCAAAGGAAGTTGAGATACAAAGACTAGCTAGGTTGCCATATGTGTAATTAAAACCTGGGGTTCTCTTCCTAAAGACTGCCCATGGCATTTTGCAACCTGACCTATATTGTCATGCAAATATACCGGTGTGCATCATGTCTTCTAAGTGACAAGTTCAATCAAAATCTGTGGTACCCAGACAGTGATGACAGTTATGCCTAACCCACTGTGGCCCTCACCTCCAAGAACTTATCTCCACCTTCTCCTGTCTGTCTAGTCTGGCTTGCCTTCCTCCTGAACCAACTCCTTCTACACTCTCTGCCCCCTTTCCTTCCTTTCTGGGTATCCTGCAATTGTTATTCTTCAAGGTTCTGCTATTTGGAAATCTTCATGATGTGCTCAAGAAGCTTTTCATTAGTATTTTCAGCAGTATCCAACATCCACCTTCATTGTAACTATCTTAAACTTTAAACACACAGGTGTGTATTTGAGATTTATCTACTTAAATTTCCAAATATTTCAAATTCAACTTCTAACATGAATATCCTTTCCCTACAAATTGCTCCTCCTTTAGTAGTCTCTATCAAGAGAAGAATACACCCATCTTCCAGGATGAGGTGCACTACAGATCTGCTCTTTCCACATTGTCAGTCTCCAAGTTTTCAGACCATATTCCTCTTAACATTCCTCATGTTCTTGCTTTCCAATGCTATTACTTTCTTAGTTCAGAATCTTCACATAAACAATGTGATGCAACAATTTCCTGTTTTTACTTCTTATACCGTGCAATTCAGACTGCACACATCTGTTTGGGTGACCATACTGCTCACCTTCCTAAAAGCCTGTGGCACACCTCACAAGGGAGAAAGAAGACAACATACACAGAAGGCAGGATATGCTCACTACCTACCTCTCTAGGGGTTGTACTTCTTGTGAAATCCTTTCTACCCTACATCACAGCTTTTGAAATCTACTGTACCTCTCTTGCCTTGTGACTTCTAATTGTTGCTTCTTCATGGAATGGTTATCTCAATTCCCTTTCACTCTTAAGACACCAAGCTTTTCGGCAGAATATCAACTGCTTTATGAATTTACATCCGTTGCATGTTAAGTGCAACAAGCTTATATATAACACACTATCTCCTTGACACCAAGACTGGTGACTCTCTCCTTTCTTCAGGTCCTTATGAAAGACATTACAAGTAATTTCTGTCCCAGCAACTATGCTTGGAGGCATTTGCTCTTTACATACTTGTTTCCCTTTTCTAGACTAAATGTGTTGATGGAAGAAACCAAGCTTATTGGTGTTTATGTTCTAAGGCCTTGCAAAGGGTCAAAAACAGAAAACCAACAGATATTTATTAAAGTCCCTGATACTGTCAGGGACTAAACACACATAAGGGAGTAAACATACCCAATAAACCATTACACTATTATTCACTGAACGTAAGTACTATGAGTAGATCGACAAAGCATGTCCACTGTGGATAGGGCACTCACTAGCATACCATATAAAATATGCGTTTATTTTAAGGAAATTACAACAGTGAAATCCCCTCACTTGTCTGCATTTAAAGTACAACTGAGGTGGTAAATTTTTCTGGAGGAAGAAAAGTTGCTAGTATTAAGTTAAAGTGATCAAAATAGATAACTTGGTTATTATTCTAAGGAGTAATGTACTACAAATAAATTACTGCTCTGCAAAAGTTAGACTTTTTGAGATAAGCACACCTTATTTGACAGCACATAGCAGAATATAGGAAATGTTAAAAAACATTTCAAGTCAAGCTATCTCTCTGTTGATGAACAGTTTACAATATAGTTGGAAAGATAAGATACAGAGCCAAGAAACAAGAATGTATCCTAACCTGATTGTTACCTTTATCTCCTTACCTCAGACAGCCTAACTCCATCTTGTACCATCAATTCTTTTTGGTACCAGGGATCCAAATTGGACCCTTGTGCTTGTGAGGCAGGCAGCAGAACCACTGAGCCAAAATCCCTGGCCCTATACCATCAATGCTTAACACGCACAAATGAGCCAAGGAAACAGGATTATCAACATTTTAAGAATGAAA